AGCTGCTGCCTCGTAATTAGGGCAGCAAAAACCAACACAGGATCTAAAAACAGGGGGAATAAAGGGCTGACACAGCTAGAAATGAAGGCTTCTACCTTATATTAAATACCAGTGTTTGTTGACATGTAAAACCAAAATGAAGCACACACTTAAACTTTCCCCCGTGCCTCCCCCCAAAATCTGGCTCTCCTCTTCTCCTGGAGGATTTTTTTCAGCTGTGACAGCAGCATATTTTCTCTGGCACATGCAGAAATTTTAAATGCAGGCAGGACTAATGGAATGATTTATTTGATTATGAGTGACTTGTATAGCTCCTTAACGCATCGTCTGAAATTTAACCATGTTTCTCACTTAAAATTATTTTTTCCCCTTTCCCTTTTCCCTTCTCTATGTAAAATTTCCTCATTCTTCACTTTTTTTTTGTTCTATTTGTTGGCATTGGAAATACTTAAATGTATGGCTCAACAGATGTTTTATTTTCACAGCACAGTGATGTTTTGGAAAAAAAACACACCAAAAAGCAAGCCTTCCTTCCCTGCTTATATATTTACAAAATCGTGATACACACAGTTGAATTAACTGGCTGGGCTAAATAAGGTATCAGAGAGATCTGAAACTCTGCTGTAGAGGGACAGGTCTGAAACTCTGCTCCAGAGGGACAGACCTTTAGCTTGGACAAATGCATCCTCACCTGTCATCTGGTGTGTCAAGCATGTGGAAAGTATAGGTTCTTCATCTGCAAAATGGCATGATTGTAATTTGTTTAATACTGTAAAAGATCTTGATGTATATATTTTTCCCCGGGACAGGAATAGGGAATTTTGAGGTTACTTTTTTAATTCAGATTTTTTTCTCTTCTTCAGTTTCTTTGAGTATGTTATTTTATTTTGAACAGATCAATTCCTGCCCTATACCTCCATGTCTTTCCTCTTTTCCACACACTTTTCTGGAAACTAATTCAGCCTCTGCTACCAGCCACTGCTCTTTTCAGAGGTACTTTACAGAGGGTGCTGGATGAAGGAAAGGGTTAGCACTGAGAATGTACAAAAACAATGTAAAGGTGTAGTTGAAGTATAGAATGTTCATATAGGAGAGCATAAAAACATTAAAAAATACACCAGCAAAAGCTAGGGGCAAAACTTTCTTCTTGTTCAGGCATGGCACAGTTGTGGGTACAGATGGAAATGCATAAATGAAGGAAATCTGGAAAGAAATGTAAGTGCTCTAAGTTTAAATATGAAATCATTATCACGTTATCTAAAAAAAGGTTGAGGAACAACTTGCTAAAGTAAAAAGCTTTTGTGCATAGATCAGACACATGGAAACTGCATGTAAATGATGCTGATGTATGAATGGCAGGACCAAGGAGAGGTGCAGTAGACCAGGTAGATGTGATTGCTGCATATGCCCATCCCCAGGGGTATCTCAAATCATTGCTTAAATTAAAGGTTTTATTGGACGTGATCGCATTTCAGAAAGACTCTGGTGGGATTCATTACTTCAGACCAGTAATCATAATAACTAACACCTGTAAAATATTTTAAGAATTAATGAAGAGGTCTCATCTGTTTGCAGAAGTTGCATTTCAAATCTATCTGCCTGTTTCCTCTTCTCTCATTTTCAGAAGTTGGTGAGCATGGAGAGAGGGAAGCGTTGAATTTTCAAGGTTTTGGTGTGATTGCTCACCAAGAGCCTCAGTAAAAAACAACTATAAGCTGTTGTGGGATGAGAAAGTCCCTGTCCTTGCTTCGTGACTGCCTTAGAAGGTTGGAAAGCAAGTGGTCAGTTTTCACAACATCACAGAAGTCCCCAAGAGATTTTCTCTGAGATCCCCACTGTTGAGCAGTGGTAATGGATCTGCAGAGGAAAGGAGGGAAGGGTAGGAATACAGGTTTGGCTGATTTTGTCTCCTTGAGACTGCTGGGACCGGGCAAAACACGGAGCAGCTGCAGAGGGGTCTTGATCCTGGGTGGCTGGGCAGCACAGCAGCAAAGGAAGCCTGTGCCAGCAGGGATAAGATAATGCTCTTTAGTTGTGTTTACTCCTCCCCTCTATCCTGCACCAGGGACAACTCTGCGAGTCACTGCTGCTTGCAAAATATCCTGAAGTCATTGCCGACAGCGACAGCATAGAGACCAGGGCTCAGGAGTGGTCAGGAAGGGAAATGGAAGGGGAGGAAGTTTCCAAGGGAGAACAAAGCAGCCCTGTTGTTGTGTTGTGGCTGGACCATGTGGTCCAGAGAGCATGTCCAGCAGGGGTGTCCCGGTGTCCCTGCCTTGAGAGATGGTCACGTCCTGCTAGTTCTGCTGGGGAAGTTGACCGAGAGAGTCCAAGGTATGGAAAAACTGCTGTTCAAGGAGGGATTGGAACAAGTGGGATTCAGTCTGAAAAAGCCACGAGTGGGCAATGGAGGGTGTTAGCAGAGGTGGTGCAACCATGAAGGATGTGTGGAAAATGAAGGCAGGAGTTTCCCGTCAGTGGGATTGGGTTTTCTGGTGTGAGGTAGAGAGAGGAGGGGTTGTGTCTGCACTTTGTGCCATTGCAGAGGTCATTGCCTCGGGCTGTTTGGGAAATATGAGTGCTTTCAAGAACTAATTAAACAAATGTGCAGAGGATGGGCATTGGTACAGCTGATGACACAACTTTTGGGAAGCCGAGCGCATTTACTGGAAGAGAAATATATTCATACCTTTGTTCCATAGTCGTGGTTTCTCTGTGTGTCTGCTGTTGGACACAATAGGAGATAGGTAAGGCTTGATAAACCTTTTGTTTATGAGATAAAGACAGTTCTGTTAGCATTTTTAAGGTAAATCTGCTGTGAAATGGCGATTGCCGAGTGTTCTCTGCTGTGACATTGCTGCATCAGGCTCTGGGTTTCAGAAAGGCAGCAATTTGTTTAAGGTTTTTTATAGGTTTGGGGAATTTTTTTTGTCCTTTCTTTCCTTCTACTCATAGCTGACACTTTGTGCTTTGTGTAGGTGATAAGCTTCCATCACCTCCACAAAAGCACCTTTGTACTGACTGCTGCCACACACAACTGCACACAAGTGGCTTATCTAAAGGTGTGGAAAGAGAGCACCACTTGTGGGGTATCCTGCTTTGTCTGGAAGAGCAGGTGCCTTCCCTCTCCACAGAAGACGTTTAGTGGTGGAATGCTTGAAAGGCTTATCTAAAGGTGTGGAAAGAGAGCACCACTTGTGGGGTATCCTGCTTTGTCTGGAAGAGCAGGTGCCTTCCCTCTCCACAGAAGATGTTTAGTGGTGGAATGCTTGAAAGGGACCTGACGTTAGAGCACTGCTTGTGCCAATAAAATAAAACCATATCATGTGAAGTAGTAGTAATAATTAAACTGAATCCACGGGGAACAGAAGGAAATGTTGTGGCTCTGCTGTGTACTTGCTTGCAGAACCTCCTTTGCCAGCTTGCAAATCAAAGCAAACAATGTGTCAAAGTTCACGTTGCAGCAGCACACAGTCATCAGAGGCAGGGATCATCCTGTACAGAGTGACTCAAAGGTGAGCTTTCCAGGTTCCTCTGTGTGGCCCAGGAAGGAGAGGAGATATTGGGACTTGGGCATCCTGTCCTGTGCAGCCGCGGGAGGAGTGTCCCAGCAGGAACTTGCAGTGAGCTGTGAGGTTGTTTCACTGCGATGAACCTGCCACCTTTCTAGATGATTCTAATGTAGGAAGCCAAAGCTGATGGTTGCTGAGTTGTGCCTGCTGTCACCTCCACCTGGAAACCCGTCGAGAGAGGTTTGTGAAGTCCAAAGCAGGGCAGAGCCGTGGAGCAGAGAGCTCCACTCTGCAGGGTGGTAGGCACCTGAGCACCTCCTACAGTGTTGATGCTCTGTCCTGCCTGCACAGAAGCTCTGGGTTGAGTTTCCTGGAAGCCTTACCAAATACAGGCTGGGGGCTGCATGAGGGAGGCATCTCAGGGTCTTGTACTAAGCTGACACTGGGCAGCTCTATTTCCGTGTGTGTCTCATTGGGAAACGTTGCTGTGTGCATGTAGTTTGCCTGCAGAGCCTCTGACAGCATGAGGGTGATTCAGTGGTGCTTTCCCTATTAGCCAATGGCTTTTGCAGTCCCTGCCTTTGGGTGCCTTCTGTTCTGGATGGCACCGGGCAGACCCCGAGTGAGCTGGCCCTCCAGGGTCCCCAGCTGTGGAGGGCATGGCAGGAGGCGGGAGGCAGGGCTGAGAGTGTCTTGCAGAGCCCATGGCAGGAGAGGAACTGGAGGTAGAACAATGTTTGCTTTTTCATTGTGGAGTGCTCTATAAAAAAAAAATTTGAGTTCCTTAATAAAGTTAAAATATAAATAGTCAGCATTAGGATGCTTTAATAATTTAGTATTTAGTCTGTGAAGGGTAGTGTTTGTAATTTAGCTTATGTGGCATTGTACTGACTCGAGTTCCTGCAAAAGCAAGCTACTTCTTATTTTCTGTAATACTGTGAAATCTTCCTTTCTCTTGCTGCATTTCCTTGGTAGTAAAGTCTAAAATAGATTTATCTATTTTGTGAAGACTTATGGATTAAGATACATGTTATAAAGCAACTTTCATACGTCTTGCTCCAGAAAAGCAGGGTCTTCTCTGCAAGAGTGCATGAATTGCTCAAAAATAGGCAGTAGAATGTTCCTCTGGGAAGAGTTAGCTTTATCTTTCTTTTCCCCTGTTCACTGCATTAATCAAGTTATTTCCTTCAGTGTATTGTGGGTGTATCCACTGCTCAGAGTCTTTTCCATGGGAGAAGGCTGTTGGTCTGGTTGGGACCATAGAGCAGGCAGTCTGTGAACTGGTTCCTGCTTTAGCTGAGAGCAGAATGTCCATTCTGAGTGGACGGAAAGGCTTATGTGGTGTTAATGTGTTTGCTGCTGGCCCTTCCAGGCCTTGGTAAGAGCTTTTTTTGGGACCACAGGGCTTATCTGAGGAAACACTTGCTGACTCCTAGAAATTTGAGGCTCTTCCTTAACAGGTTTTCTTTTTTTCCTCTTTTTCTGCAGGTGTTTCTTGAACTCTTCAGTGCACCACAGAACTGTTGTGTTTTGGGATATTCTGCTTAAGCCTTCAGAAGAAAATCTGCCAAGAGCCAAAAATGACTTGAGTTGGAGAGCTGATGCTTTTTCCACGGGTACTGTGGTGGTAGCTCAGTAACATCTCAACAGCACGGTGTAGCACTGTTTGCTTTCAGCAGGTTGCTCAGTGAGGAAGTTGCCGCCCTTGCCTCTCTGGGATGGCAGTGGTGACCTGCACGTGTTTGTCTCCTGAGGACCTTGTGCCTCTGTGCTACTCCCATGTTTTTGGATGCATGCTGGAGGCAGCCACGTCGGGAAATGAGCACCTGCTCTCCTGCCTTCTCTGGTCCTGTGTGCTGCTCACGAGGTGTTTATGCCTCAGCATGTTTCGTACACCCACCCCTTGTGCTGCCTGGGTTGAGCTACCTTTTGGGCAGTCCTCCTGTTGGATTTCCCCTTTTATGGTGGGAGCTGGAGGTGTTTGCTAGAGTGAGGCAACACAGAAGAGGAAAGGCAGTGCTGTACAACAGAGTCTGGTTCTGCTTCCTCCAGAAGTAACTTTGCTGGAGTAATGTTTATCAAAGCGCGTTTATGAGCCCAAACATGCCTCAAACCTTACTGGGGCTTCATTGGCTCCCATCAGCTGTTTAGTAAGGTTTGATGTTGGGAAGTGCACTCAGCCCACCAGAGGTTTGCAGCAGTTCCCTGCGAAGTTACCAAATGAGTCAGTACCAGGCCGGTGAAGCTCCTGGGGCTCATGAACTCACAGACTTTTTTTTTTTCCCCAGTTATATGCTTTATTATGTGTTTATTAGCATTCAAGCTTATGGTCGAGTAAAAAACTCATTTCTGGAAATTCATTTGGTGTAATTTGGATATTGATTGGCAGGGATGAAAGATGAAGGAAGGCAAAGTGCAGACTTACCCCATTGCTAGTATAATACTGGTGGTGTTAACGTTGGCTGTCACTTGTGGTAGGGAATAGACAACAGGTTTGAGTGGCAGTGGCCTCAGATCACCATTACGTAGCATGTGATGGCTGATAGCCAGCTCAGGTCTTTCTTTTTGGTGTTTGAGGTGGTGGACTTTGAAATGAGATCTTTAAACAGCTTGAAATTTTAGAATTACTATGTTGTCCCTCTCCCCTCCTGTTGCTTGCACACTGATATTTATGACTTTATATATATGCAGCCCTGACTGAGCTGCGTTCCTTTTTGCAGGACCAGCTTCCAGTGGACCATTTGGATGCACCATACACTATGGTTCACATCAATGTGTTGAAAAAATTAATGTGTGTTCTTGTGGTGATACTGGTAGCACTGACAGTTTGCCTGTGGAGAGAGACAAGAAGAAGCTACTACAATCCTTTCAAGATTGAGAACGATGATTTGCAGGGTCACAGGAGTTCAGAAAAATGGAACACTGTTAAATCACAAGGCCTCTTCCGTGAAGCAGCCAGCGAGTTGGGTCAGGTATCCAAAACATGGCTTGGTACCCAAAACAAACCAAAAGGCAGCATCTCTGAAACAGTGGAAAAGTCCAAGAAAGCAGCAGCCTCTGTGAAGGTATGGGATAAGGACAGTTCATCCAAAAATCTCATACCCAGGCTGCAGAAGGTCAGAAAAAACTACCTGGCCATGAACAAGTACAATGTGACTTACAGTGGGAAGAGGAACACTGCTAAACTCAGCCCGGAGAAGCTGCTGTGCCAGCTGCGGGACAGGGTCAACGTGACCATGATACAGGGGTCAGATGGTCCTTTTGGTACCTCTGAATGGCAGCAATACCTACCAGGGAAGAGCCTCAGTGAAACAGTGGGCCACCTGGGTCGCTGTGCTGTCGTGTCCTCAGCTGGGTCTCTGAAATCATCTCATCTGGGACAAGAGATAGGTTGGTATCTTTCTGTTAGCATAAAGCCAAATATCGTTGTTTTATAACTTATGCTGAATAGAAGTAAGCTACTGTCATGCTCTTACCAATAAATCTCTGTTGTGGTCAAAAGATGTTTAGAATAAGTTGAAATATTGTCCTTCAACTTCTTCTAAAGTCAATTAACATTTCAGCCTAGGAGATGGGAATAATAGGTAGTTCTGTTCTAGCTAGTCCTTTCAATTTTCATGATTGTGTTGGCATGACTAGAGGATAGCACTAGTACTGGATTACCAGAGAGAGGTCTTGGTTCCACAAGTGTTAAGTTTTTTGAGAAGATTTGGAGTGGGTTGAGTAATGCTCATTGAACAGTCAATGGTCAGAAAAACTTTCATCGAGAAAAATTTTGTCAGAGAAGAAATAAAAGAAAACACCAAAGGGGAAAAAAAACCACTGGACACAGCCCTGAGCAGTGTGTGTTGAGCAGAGGGGCTGGGTACAGACAGTCTTCAGAGGTCACTTCCAGCCTCAAGGATGCTATAATTCTGCTCAAGGCTTTACAAAGGTGACACTACTGTATTCTGAGCCATAAGACAGTGGCTGAATTTGAATGGCCCAGAAGACTTTACAGGGCTTTGTTTTATCTCTTTAGGCAAAGTTTGGTGACGCTTTGCAGTCTTATCTGATCATATTTATCTGAAGTTAATGCATTAATAAATGCTGAATCATTGGTCTTGTACTGTGGATTGTAAAGAAGCATGTTTTGATACCAAAGCATTTTGAGTCTTTACAAAAGCAACATGAAGGGGAAACCAGGTCTTCAGCCTTCACCTTGGGGTATTGTGCCTGCAGTTCCCTAAGCTTGCTTCGTTATTTTTTGTTTGAAGCTCAGTTAGGATTCTCACTTTGCAGAACTGTAGCTTCGCTGAAGGAGAAGTTTTAAAGCCTGGGAGTTTTCTCTCAAGTGGAAATTGTTTTCAGGCTTTGGTGTATTCGTAAGTTTTCTGTTGAATCAGATTCTTTTGGCCTGCACTAAGCTGCAAGTAGCCTTCATCTTCTGAAACAAGTAGGTGGGTAGATTTTAAAGCATTTTTCACGGACAACTTGGCAATCATAGTCTCTGGGTGCTCATGCGAGAGACAGTGTTTTGTTCTGGTACTTGCTCAGAAGTTCTCCCTCAAACTTGTCTGTGCTCCAAAGAGCAGGTGGAAAGGAGCTAGAGGGAGGCTGGACAGCTGGAAGTGTGTTAAAATGCTATTAAAAATGCAATGAAAAATAGCATTGCCTCCTGGTTCAGGTTGCAGGTGGGAGTTGGTTGATGTAATTGTTTCTGCCCGCGTTTGAGGCTATGCGAGTCAAGGCGTAGGAAGCCAATTCTGACTTTTCCTTTGAGTACCAGTCTTGGCTTTTTTGGGTGCCTCTTGGAGCTAAAGGTTTGCTCAGAAGTGACTTTCTGTTGAACACCCTCCCCAGCACAGCTGGCTTGTGTCCAAAGGTGTCTCTGTTAGGCTCCAGGATACTGATAAAACTGCTTGCTCCCCTGTGGGGAGACCCTCTGAGGATGTGAGTGTGATGTTTATGGAGTGTTGAGGCGCAGTCAATACAGTGCTGGATTCAGTGCCAGAGCAGCCAAGTGCTCTGGCTGTGGCACAGCTCAGCGGACGTCAGACATGCAAAGCCATTTCATTGTTCCTACAGCCTGTCCCTGAGCCTGTCTCAGAGCTGAAGCACTGGCTTGTTCCAGATCACAAGGAATGGATGCTGGGGAGGTCACTGAGTAGTGCTTGAGGCAAATCCATTAACCCTTGCTGGTGTTCCTGCCTTGTGTTCCTCGCGCCTGGGTCACCTTTGTGCTTGGTCGTCTCTGCAAGGGCTTCTGCAGAGTTTGGGGCACTTGCAGCTTTGAGCTGGGCAGGGTGAATGTTAAGGATTCAGGAGCATTCCGAGTATTTATGTAAGGTTTTTTCACAGTTTTGGCTGGATTTATTTCCATGTAGGAAAAGTCATGGGTTTGTTGGAGGAAGTTGTCAAAAAGGTACTAAATCTTACAGGCTTAAAATTAAGCATTTGCGTAGATGAGCACAATGGATTGCTGAGTTATTATTCCAGGAAATATGTGTTCTGTGTAAGCACATTAAGATATCAAATGAGCAATTAGTCACTGTAAGGAAGGCTGGCAGAGCAGAACAGGGAGAAGCTTGTAAACAACTGGCTTGTGTCTTACTGGGCTCTTGGTGTTACTGAAGGTTATAGGATGCTACTGAAAAATCTGATATGAGAGATACCAAGTGTAGCACAACCACCTGGAGACAGCCAGCTACTCTGCCTGAGCTGTCACCAAACACCCTTTTAAAATGTGAACTCGGGGCAGAATAATGCTTAGTGTCTGGCTGAAGTTATAGGGGGAGATTATAACCCGTATTGAATTGATGCAAGGTAGGACATGGAGTTATGGGTCTGTCGTGGTAACTACAGAGGCACTTCTCAGCATGGATATGTTTTTTTCCTGAAACATCACCTTTCACAGTTTTGGGTGTTGCTTTGGAAGGGCTCTTAAAGATCCACTTCTTGAGAATAAAGAAGCTGAGAAACTAGTCTTTGCTGACAGTAATTGCTGATCCTCCAGCATTGCTTATGAAAACACCCCTGTTTTCAAGAAAATGATCTCAAAAAGACCTGGTTCTGGACCAGGCGAGCCCTTCTGCCCTGCCTGGGAACTAGGCAATTCCCCAGGGACCCTGACTGCAGGTGCTGTGAGCTGTGGTCATGTGGCCTCAGTGTGAAGGCAGGGGAGTTGGTCCTGCTTCTCTAATGTGAAAGATTTCCTATCCAAATCCAGCCACGAGGCATGGAGAAGTCAGGGTGATGGGCAGGAGCACCCTCCATGCCACAGCAGCCTGGCTCCGTGGCGTTACAGCAGCTGTGCCAAGGCAGAGGAGGGTGCTGAAGGAATGCTGTGCTATCTTAAGAGATGATACCAGCAGAGGAGAATGCAGTGAATCCCAAGGCGTGTAACAAGCTATGCCTGTTTAAATGCACAGCAGAGGATTTATTTCTGTAAAGTGGGAGGTGTGCTGGCAGGCTAAGGTCAGCTTCGCTTTCCACTGTGGCTATTATACAGATTTCTTGGGCCGGTCAACCTCCAGTCTGCAAGAGAGGTTGCTGGCTTGCCATTCATTACTTTCCATTTCCTTAGTATGCAGCCAGCCGCGTGATAAATTAATTGTCTGTCTCCTGGTAAAGTGGAAGGAAGCAGAGGGAGGGAGATACTGTACTCCTCCATGCAGAGCAAATGCTGGAATTGTGCTCTCAGCCTGCCAGTGGGTTGTAGTTTTAAAAAGTGGGGATTTTTAAAGTATATTGATCATGAAGTTTGAGCCACAGCTTCCTCCAAAGAATCTGGCTCGCTACTTCCAGTTGTTACAGGGAAAGCCAGATTGTATTAGAAGTACAGGTGCATAACATGTTATGTGTCTCTGTCACTCAAAAACCAGTTGCTAGCTCACAGGTTTTCACTGTGTTTCGCTTTCAGACAGCCACGATGCTGTCTTGCGGTTCAATGGGGCTCCCATCAAGGGCTTTCAAGATGACGTGGGGCAGAAGACAACAATCCGTCTTGTCAATTCCCAGGTGAGTCTGAACAACATGTGCCCAATGGGCCAAGCACGGCAGAGCTGCATTGTCTGGGAGATGAGCAGCAGGCTGAACTAGCAGCATCCAGGGGACTTCTGGGCTCATCTGCTGCTGGGAGGTCTTTAAAAAGAAGTTGGGGGAACAGGGCCATCCCTCTGATTTTGCGTGGCCCTAGCAGAAAGCTGTAAGATGGGAATATTTCCCCTTGGAATGGGGGACAGTTGGTAAATCTGAGGTGACTGGAGTGACCCTAGCTCATGCTAGGGAACCTGTAGTATCCTGCTTGCAATTTACAGCAGGCACAAGGTAATTTGGGGTTTGTCTTGGCTTGGAGCCTCTGTGTTAGCACAGGAAGGCCAGCTGCAAGCTGCTGCTCTGCCTTCAGAGCAAGGGGCAGGAGCAGCACCACAGCTCACCTAATGCAGCTCAGCAGAGAGAGGTCTGCCGAGAGAGGAGTTGTGCTTGCCCCAGAGATGGGTATGAAGAATGAAGGGAGTTTATTTGGCTTTTAATAAAATAACAGTGTTTCTTTACTGCCTAGCAATGCCACAGATTCTGTAGGTAACACATTAACCAGTGCTGCTAAATGGCTGAAGACATTTGGCAGAGGACACACCTTTAAAGCTGTAGTCTGTGCACAGCCAAGAGAGGGATGGGCTCTGGTGGGTGAGTCAGAGGGTCCGGGATCTCACTGCAGAGCATGGCAGAAAATGCTTTAAATGCAAGGCATTGCTTATGGAGTTACATTTTCCCTGCGGCGCGGGCCCGGCTGGCCCCGGGCACGTGCGCGGCGGCGCAGCCCGGCCCCAGGCGCTGGGGCCCGGCCCCGGGCGCGGAAAGGGGCGAGAGAATGGGAGCTTCGCCTGTGCAGACAGTGCCATCGTGGGAGATGAGAGGGGAGCCCCGGAACACAGAGAAGAGAAGGACAACTCTAAACCTGGGCAGATGGAGCTCGTCAGCCCTGTAAGGCCATCCATCTAAGAGAAGGTCACCCTAAAAAAACCTATGTCCTGAGGACCTCGCTACCACCATCCAAGCTCACTCGGCCCCGGCAGATGAACCTTAGGATTAAAGGGTGGGCTCAGTTCAGCACACACTGTGTCTCACCTAAAAAATCCATTGCGCAGACTCGAAGGCCTTACCCGCATTTGCAAAGCCCTGTATCTCCAGCGCGCTTGTAACAAATGTGGGTAGAGACCTTTCCCAAATCTTCGTTCGCAAAGACTGGCCATGATGATGACATTTTCCCTGGCTCTGTGAGAGCTCTTTCTAGGTATGAGGCTGTCCCTCTCCTGGTTGCCTTTGGCTGTCAGTAGGCTGTGAAGCAGACTCCCCGGGGTTAGGAGCGTGTCTAGCGGTGAATTGGCCCGTTCACGAGCAGAGGGAGACCCTTGCTGCTCTAGGTACATCTCAGTGTGTTTGCACCCTTCTTCCATACAGCTGTTACCCTTCATGTTTGCCCATTTTGGGGGGAGAAATTTTCAGGTGTAGACATGCAGAGGGAAAACAAAGTCACAGTAGTGTGTGTTGGTGAGGTAATGGAATGAGGCAGTAAAATGCCAAACAGGCATTGGTAAAAGACCTGCTGTGGCGCTGCAGCACCTCCTCACCCTGCAAGAGGAGGAGGAGGTTCTAGGCACATGAAGACTGAGGGGCTGGGAGAGGGAGAGATGAGGGGCTTAAACATAGCTTTTGTAATCCAGAACCAAAAAGGCAGGTTTTTTTTTCCTTACCCCAAAGGTAAGATTTTTAGGCTGGAAGTTTTCTCATCTGCTTCTGTGTGAGGAGTCCATGGGAGCTGCTGTGTAATGAGGTTTGAAGTTTCTCAAAACAGCAGCAGGAGCTTGGCCATCTGTTCCAAAGGCAAGACATGCAGCTGGTGTGTTTGCTTAGTTCATTTTGTGTGTCTTTTTTGTTCTTGCTTCTCTTGTGAATGCTGTTGCCACCTCTTTCTGCTCTTGGATCTTGCTTCTCCACTTCCTGGTGTGCTCTGTGCTGCTGCTTGCTGCATCTTGATGCCCTTGTGTTAACATCCCCAGTTAGATGTGGGACAGTTTGTCCTTCCTGAACCAGTCGGGTTTAGAAGACATATCTGACTGCTCACATCCTCCTTATGCCCTGTTTGACATCTCTTTTTTTTTTTTTATCTTTCCTTTCTGTGCGTATTTTTATACGAATGTCAGATAGGTGTTATCACTTAAGCAACTTTCCCTAGAGGTTGTGGTCATTGCCAAGCTGACAGTGATAAGAAGAGAAAACATGTACATGACCTGTGGGATATCAGAATTATCAGCACAGGGAGGAGGGGATCTGTGTGGTTGTACAGCTTAATATGACTCTTCATGTGCAGTCTCTTACTTTTGTAGTTATAGCCATGGCATTATAGTATTTCTGTTCTCCATGTGGATCAGCCTGCAGTCATGGGTGACATTCCCTCTGAGTGGAGGCACCAGCTTAGAAAAATTCAGTTACAGGGAGAACAATATTGTTGCAGTTTTTAGAGGCGAAAGTTAACGCAAAATGCAGCGTAGATCTGGCTGCTGACCAGGGCAAAAGATATGAGTAGTGCAGGAGCCTCTCATCTGGGCTTTATGAACTGAGCATCTCTAATTGCAGTCCCTGTTATCTTCAGGGATCACCGAATTGAAAGCCTGATTTTCTGATGTGTTTATTCGCACTTTTAGTGCTGTTCAGTGCTGTTCTAGTCTTGGTGACATCATTTAAACCTTCTTGTGAGTGGGGTTGCCTGATCACATTCTGTTTTCAGCTTACTGGGCCTTGCCCAGAGCTCCTGCAGGCATCACATAGTGGCTGGAGATGCTGTAGTTTGTTCTTGTTCTGGGATTGGCTTTTCTTATGTTATTTCTTGGCCTTTCTGGGAAAAGGGATGAGATTGTGGCTTGGCTGCTTTTATTTTGGCTCTTACTATCGATCAATCCTTTCCCAAAATGAAGGAAATGGGATTTCCTGAATCTAATCTGTCAGAACTAGCCTGTATGGAGTAGCATCCCCTTGGCATGCATGGCCAGGGGCCCTAAGTTGCTTAGTAATTATTTTAGGGTATTTTTCTGTAATTTGCATTACATATCTGAGGGTGGATGGTTATAACAGTAGAGTGGGGTATCTTTTACATCTGTGCGGATAGGGAAAGGTTAATAGATTTGATACCGACAGGAGGGGGAGACAGTTGCGATCCCCAGATCTGAGGATAAGCTTGTAGGTCCACAAGTTTGGTAGTTGTTTTAAATAAAGAATTTATTCAACACTGCCTTGCTTTTTTTCTTAGACCTTGACTGGTTCATCAGCGGTGCTGCCTTTCATGACTTGTTTTCCTGCAGTCTTACACAAGGCATCGATTTGCCCTGGGAAAGCAGCACATCTTGCAAAAACAAGGGCTGAAGTGTGTGCGAGGGGAGTGCCAATGTCACTGCGGAGGACACAGCTCTTTCCTGCAGAGCTGACCGAGGACCAGAGTTCCTCGTTCCTCCCAGTTCTTGTTTACAGTTCTCCTGGGCTGACTTCTCGCTGTCATAGAGAGCACTCTCTTCTTTGGCTGCCTGTGCTGTTACTGGCACTAATGGGTCTGCAGGGAGGAAGAGAAAGGATAGAACACATCGGTGGAATGGGGGAAGATTGTGATGGGAAAGGGGATCGTGTTTAGATTACAGGACATTGACTGTGGAAGCCGGAAAGAAGGAAATCATTGTGATATCGTCAATAAAATGTACCAAGAGAGTAGGGGCTGTATTAGCAAGATACTGCTTAAACTGTGAACTGGCTGAAGAACAAATTAACTAGGAAATCAGTAGATCAGCTAACTAATTAGGATCAAAAATCCGGGCAAGACAAGTAAATAATGTAGCAATTTAAATGAATTTAACTACTTAGAAAGAATTGGTCACTATCAGTATTAAACACAACAAATAGGCACTAAAGTATCTGGGGAACCAGATTCCCCCAGCAAACGGGTTAAGTGACCAAGAGTTAACAAGTAGTGCCAAGACCCAGCCATGGGGCGTGAGGAAGGACACAGCAAACAGCTTGTGGCTGTGGAGGTGCTCTCCACCTGGTTTCTTATCCCTTTGCTTTTGTGCCTATCGCAGCTCGCTCTGTGTCTCTGCCAGCTCACATGGCTTTGCTTGGCTGACCCTCGCTTTCTCTGATGCTCAGTCTCTCAAACCCTCCTTTCGTGGGTGCTGCATCAGAGAAGTTCCTGAAAAATTTCTAGCCTTTAAATAGAAACAATGAAATGAAAATGAAGTGTCCGTGTTCCTTGCCCTGGCACTGTCCCGTTGCAGTGCTCCATCCCGCTCGTACCCAGCTGAGGGGATGGCTGGTACCAACCTCTGTGCCCCTCCTTGCCTCTGGTGTCCACAGGCTGCAGGCAGATGTTCACACCTGCAGCATTGCAGGCTCCAGCTCACAAGCAGCCTAGATATTTTAGCTGCTGTAAGGAAAGGAAGCCGGGCAGCACACGTGGTCAAGGCCAAGCTTTAATCCTGCAGAGTTATGAACAGATGCGAGGAAACCCTTTTTGCTTTTGAAATAAATCATATCTGGGCTAGCTGGAGTGTCCTTTTGCTCTGGTTACGGGGACAGCCAGGCAGGCTGCTGGGGCAGCCAGGATGCTCAAGGACTAATTGGCTGGCTCATAATTAGGTCTGTGGAGAAAATCAGGACAAATGGAAGCTGATTTCTATGATTATGATTTATGATTACAGTGTTTACAAGCTGTGCCTGTACAGATGATGGCTTTGGGTGGGAAGGACAGGAGATGAATTGTTTAATTCTGATTGTTTGCTTTGTGCTGCAGACCTGGGTTACCCTCAGGTGTACCAAACAGTTGTTGTGTCTAGAGTATAGAGAGAACTTCTCTGTTTGAAGATTGCCTTCTCATTGCTGCTCTCAGAAGATTCAAACCTCCTTTGCCTAAGTTGGACTCCCCTGCTCTGGAGAAGCATAGAGAGCTTGGTGTGAGGCTGGGTTGGACAGGGGTGCCATGGTCTCTCATCTCCTCCACTGGTGGTCTCACAGCTGAGCCCTGGCTGTTGGAGTTCCTGCTGCTCAGAAGAAACCACCCACCTGCAGGCCTTTTTTTTTTTTTTTTTTCTGCACACAGTGGGGAATGCTCAGTAACCAACAGTGGCATGGCTGTGACTGTTTTCAGGTGTCTTTTACTGCTTGGCTGCCCACTCATTCTGACAACATACTGTATATCATTGCGTTTGTTGTTGTTATTCAAGCTTGTCACTGTTGAAGAGAAGCAGTTCCTGAGGGAAGCGCTATATAACACTGGAATTTTAATTGTCTGGGATCCAGCACCTTATCATGCAGAAATTCATGAGGTAAGGCTGAGTTTTCTGTAAATAAAATCAGATTCATATGCTTTGAAGTGCCTCGGTTAACCCACTTCCTGCTAACATGGGCAGTCACTCCTTTGAAGGCCATTGTTTTTTACCTCTTTATTATTGTGGATGTATCTGTGTGTACTTCTGAGAACACCCCATGCATGAGTGCTCCTATGAAAACACTTGCCTGTTCCTGATCCCTGTGAAGGGCATCAGGCCAAGTGTAACAGGTCACCACCTCTACTTTCCCATGGACTGATGCCACAGGGAAGAGATCACTGGTAGCTGCAGCAATTAGAGGATGATCTGTTCTTTCTGACAGTTACTCTAAGATTTGCTGCTGGTTGATGCTTGGATATTTCGAGCACCAGTGAGACATGAGATATGCTTGATGCGTTATGAATGGATTAGGAAACCCTCTGAAGATCTTAGCAAATGTCTCCTCTCTGTGTCAGCAAGGCTGTCATGAGTGGGTGTTGCAATCCCTCTAGCACTCACTTTTGATTTTGAGTACAAAAGAGCATTATTTGATAAGTGATGAGCTTTGGAGACTCATGGTCAAAGCAGGTAGAAGTGAACAGTCCATTCTTTACTCTTATTTAGAGCTCTATCTGTAACTGAAAGGTCTTTGCCTTCCTTTCTCTGGACTGCATTTCCTATTTTGTCACTGATGTTTATTCCTGTGTCTAGTCTCATGGCTCCAGGTGGCATAAGGGGGTATGTACAGCATGTTTAAGAGTCAGTAAAACCAGCATGGGATATTTGTAGCGTAGGAAAAAAAAATCTCAAAATGATTTAGAAAAACCCCATAAACCATTCCTAAGTGTTTTTACTGAAAGGAGAAGATTTAGGACGCAAATCAGCTCTGCCTGGTTTGGGAGGCTGTGCTGAGAACACTTGCCTGCAGAATAGGATGCTTTGTACTGCAACACTGAGAAGGATTGGGGTCTGTAACATTTAAGGCAGAGTTCTCAATATCATCTGCTATTGGGAGGTACAGAAGGAAATTATACAAGATGCTGATCTCATTTAATGGTCCTTCACTGAGATTTGCGTTTTCCCTGCTCTGTTCACTGAGTCAAGTCACCACAGTGACCCAAGGGTTGCAGCTCAGGGTGTGCAGGTGTAGCAGGACCTTTTACCCAGCATCAGCAGGTTCACTCATCCTTGTTTCCTGTTGGTTACAGGAAAATGGGCCAGAAATAGTCTGACTTCTTGTTTCTGTTTTGCAGTGGTACAGAAAACCAGACTACAACTTTTTTGAAAGCTATAAGGCGTATCGTAGAACACATCCAGAGCAGCCCTTCTATATCCTGAATCCAAAAATGCAGTGGCAACTCTGGGACATTCTGCAGGAGAATTCCCTGGAGCATATTCAGCCTAATCCACCGTCATCAGGAATGCTTGGTAAGATAATCACCCTCTAAACTTCTGGTTCAGTTTGCAGGCAGGAACTCTCCAGGATGCCTTTTTACAAAGACAACTACAAATCTATGGTGCTTATCAGAGTTGTTTTTACAGTGTTTGTCTTATGCCAAAATTTAAGCTTCCTGTCTTTAAAGTAGCAGCGCAGTTGCACTACAGTAAGTGGTTTGCAGCACTCCTCTGAAACAGCAGTTACAAACATAGCCCAGTTCCACATGGAAACAGGAGGGCAGATCGCAACACTGGGATGATCTCTAGGATTTCTAGCTTCTGGTGCCAGAGCAGTTCCCACGGGGTGTGAGAGGAAGGATATGGTTCCTGCAGGCTCAGATCTTGTCAGGCAAGTAACTCTGGTTACTGCAGATGAATTCTGAGTGCTAGCCTGTTCATCCTTTCCATATATTATATATATATATATATATTTATATAAAAATGACTTACTGAGGGGCTGGGGATGGTCAGACTAAACAGTTGCCCTGAAAAGTTCAGTGATGTTCCCCCTTATGCAGCATGCTAACTTCTTGCTTGTCAGCATGCTAAATTCTGCCTCTCAGCGAAGGAGCTCATTTTACATTCTGCTGTTGCAAAGGTTTTCCTACTTAGTGGAAAGCAGATCTCATGACCAGATGAATAAAAAGGAGTGAACCTCTGGGAAAGCTCACGTGTATTTGAAATCACACAAGACCTATAGTCTTGTTTGCCATAGAATGTCCAACTGCTGTGCTTCCACCCTTCGTCTGCTCCTGTCTCTGCTCCCATCACTGCTGGGGCAGAGGCACCTTTCTGTCTCCATGTAAACAGAGTCACTTCATATTTTTGCCAGGTCCAGCAGCTATTAAATGATTGCTGGGATATGTGCAGAATGTGTAACAGCATAACTGATGACTTCAGCAACAAAATTGTTAGCAGGCACCAGGCCACATCGGACAGCAATTTCTCTGTGGCTTAACTTGGGGCCAAGTTACCTGCTTTGTAAAGCAAATCACCTCACCAAATTCGGGGGCATAGATGAGTTCTAGTTTCCAACTCTAGCTTCTCTGAAAGGTCTAAGTGTGATTGAAAGTTGTAATTTGAAAAAGTGGTTGAAAATGTGTTTAAAATGTGCCTTAGGTAAATGAGTGGTTTCACATACGGGTTCTTTTAATGTCTTGCAATCCATGTTCCTCTGATTGTGCAGAGTCCTTGATATCTCAGATACTGTGTGAATTTCTGTGATGTTGTACACTGTTTGTGATTCCCTGGTATATTCTTGCACTTAGAAGAAAAGTAGCCAGCAACTATGGCTTACGTCTGATCTGGCCGAAAAGTCTTCAGGCTGTGCCCAGTGTGATGTCCTCGAGTAGTTCCTGTGCCTGTCAGAAGACACAGGAGGGCAGCACCGCTCTGCTGCGGGGACCCTGAGGAGCAGAGGCTGCTGAGGTCTCCCTGAGCATATCCCAGCACCAGTCCCATTCATATTCCCTGCATTCACTGGAGGCAGGTGGGGAAAAGACGAAAATCTCATCCCTGCTTATTCAAGCAGCTAAGTGTAGTGCATGCTTGGCAGACACCCAAGTTTCCATGAAGGTCATTGAGAATGGTAGCACTCTTAAAAATTGGCCTTTTAGCAGGTCTGTCGCTGTAAACAATCCGCTGTGATCACATCGATCACACACTTCGCAAGGGAGAGCTTCAGAAGACATCCCTGATCTGGCCAGATTTGTTTGCTCCCCCTCTACTCTGAATGTCCCAAAAGGAAGCCCTTCCCCTGGGAGCTGGATGCTCCTTGCTGCCTGCCTGTCTTGCTCGAGTGTTTAATTGGTTCTCTGGGCTGATGTGGGCTGTCTCCCTTCCATCCTTCCCCAGGCATTGTGATCATGATGACACTCTGTGATGAGGTGGACGTGTACGAATTCCTCCCTTCCAAGCGGCAGACGGACATTTGCCACTATTACCAGAAGTTTCATGACCACGCCTGCACCATGGGAGCTTACCACCCTCTGCTCTTCGAGAAGAACCTGGTGAAGCACATGAACCAGGGCACAGACGAGGACATCTATACTCATGGGAAAGCCACCCTGCCCGGCTTCCGAAAAGCGCGTTGCTAATGGATTGGTGTTTAGTTTTCCTTGACTGTCAAAGCACTTTTTAAATCAGGGTTGTCAGATTTGTTAGGTCTAAGCACTGGTGTGTTTTGACAGCTCTTCCATGTAGCAGCGCTTGCTCTTAGGACTTCGTTGACCAGCTCTGTGAGGTGGTGTTAACTCACTGTGGTACATCCACACCATATCTGCATGAGTCACTGCAATAAATTCACTCCCAGTGGAGCCAGGCTCATGCAGTGGGTGGATACCTCTGTCTGCCTCTCAGCCCATGATGGTGTGGGGGAGGTGCAGGAGAGGCTTTCTGAGCAGAGATTGCACAAGTTGGGATCAAATGGTGAATACAGTTTGGTTTGCTTAAAAAGGGTTATGACAGCCAAAAACCTGGTCCATTGGGAAACAAGAGAAATAATTTAAAATTTGTTCCCATAGTCCTAGGAGCTCTTCAGAGCAGGACTGATCTATGGAAATGCTGTCAAGCTGTGTACTGATAAGCTAAATTCCTTGTCCAAAATATTTCATTTTATAAATAGTTTGTAAAATTACCTTGACAACTTCCTTCTGAATTGTAAGACTTCTAAAACCACTCAGGTGACATTTTTGACCAAGGAAGAGGGAGGCAATTCACAATTCAGTGATTCTTGCAAGACTTTTAAATCTTGTTACTTTTTTAAAAATAATTTAAAATAAATTTTAGTGAACATTTACTTCTCCAGTACAGTGTTGGGCTTGGTACAGAAGAACCCTTATTTCAGAAATGTTTTGGGGAAGATGCTCCAAGGCACACATGGGAGAGCTCACTGGAAGTCAGTACCTCTTTCCAGCTGTCTGCTGCTCTACCTTTGCAATTGTTGGCAAATTACTTCCTGTCCCCAGTAACAAATACCACAGAGCTGCTTCTAGATGAGTTCCAGTCTTCTGCAAGCTACCAGAAGGAATCTCTCGGCTGCTGTGTGCTTTTCTGAGTAGGTGGGGAGCAGATTTACTGCTTCCATGCTTCATGAGGTGTGAGGAGGGAGAGTGTGCTCTGCTTCTCATGCTGAAACAGGCAGAACTGAGAAGGGCAGCTTTTTCCTGCTCCAGGGGACTCCTGTGGCAGCATGATGGAAGTAGTAGCTGTGCAATCTCTTGTATGCTGGTGAGAACACCTTCCCTGTCTCCTGTACTGGTGTGTTTCATCAGGTCTGTAAAGAAAGCTTTTTCTTCTCCTGTTTTGAATAAATCCTGTGAAGTCATTGGCCTGTTTTTGCCTTGGTGAAACCGGTGTAAATATCTTTGCTCCATGACCCTGGGGATTTGCACCAGTCTTGCACCAGTGCAGGCAGAGCTGGGAGGGAGCTGCTCCCCTACTCATTCCAATGAGCCCGTGGCTCTTGCCCTGCTGGTGAGAGGGCCACTGCAGAGCTGTTCCTTCAGCTCAGAGCCTGGCTCTCTGCACCCCCATCTCTTGGGATGCATTGGGTCTGTCAGTGCTTAACAAATTGTATGGCATATATGTAGGGAAAAAAGTTCAGGTCCTGGCACTACTACTCAGGAGTGCTAGGGCAGGAATGCTGTGAAGGCAGCTGTGTCTTGTTAAGCATTCCTTTTCCCCGTGAGAGGAGAGAGCTTGTGGGGGAAAAGCCATAAGGGGTTTTTTGGGAGAGCTGCAGCAACCTCTCCCCATCACCACTCTTAGTTTCTAACAGTCCTAACTCTGGCCTTTGGATCAAGGGAGTGTCTGCCACAGCAATTTGCCTTCTTAGTATGTGTTTAGTTGAAACTTGAATACCTTCAGACTCTCTTCCTACATTGTCTCATTTGACATTTCCCACCATGTTATTTTCCCCGAGCATCCACCCTGGGGAGATCAGCCCAGCCACCCTCTTCGTCTTGGGCTGTGGAACTGATGGATAGCACATGGCTTCTGGGAAGCCAGAACAATCTGCCTGCTGGTCACCTGGGGATCCCCAAACCACCTGCTCCTCTACAGGGCTCCTGCAAGAAGACAAAATGTCAGACAGGCTCCCCAGGGTCTCTCAGAACCCTCTGTTATTTATGGCAATAGTCTTGCACTGGGCATGGAATTTCAAATGTGATGGTAACAGTTTTAGCTACATCCGGTGTGTGATTCACTTACAGTCTAAACACACTTTTAAGGAATTATGACAGAGCTTAAAATAAGCCAGTTTTGACCATCTTTTTTTCCCCCTCTTTTTGGCTGCCTAGATCCCAATCTAATATAAATTGCAAGTGATGGCAAGTCTGGTATTTAGAAGAGCCAGGTGTAAGTTAGTGGGCAGCAACAGCTAGACTGTAACAAAAGCCTCATCCCTCCTGCAGCCTAACCACTTCCAGAGTGAACAACTCTCTCCATGTAGAAAACAGGAAGAGGGCAACACTGCCCTTTCCAGTTACCTGCTGAAGGGCTAAGAACTAGGAAAAATTCTCCATAATTATATGAGAAGGGTGGAAAACATTTCCAGCTGGAAACTGTTTTTTCCACTTTGCCTTTTTAGAGAGCCAGGAACACGGGTGGGGAGAGGTTTTCTGGTGAGCAGAGACCAGAGGAGGCAAGTGCTGCTGCCAGGGGGTCATGGTTGGATGAGGAAATAATTGGGTGATTTAAAGCAATGAAAATATGTTACTGACAGAGGAACACTGGACTTTATTGTCTTTAAAGGAGATTTTTCATTGTCTGGGCTAACAAAGGGGCCTGTGGGTTTTTATGGTTTGCTTTCACTAAAGACAAGGGGAGAAAAGTCCCAGAAATTCAAGCTGTTCCCACCTGAGTCAACACGCCTGTCCTCACCTCCCTGAGAAGAATGGAGTGGGTGAGTAGGAACTAGATCTGACAACCAATGTATCAAGTGACGGTTAAAAAAATACATACTGGCACTTCCTGGAGAGAAACACAAGCTGCCCCAGCCACACATTCCTTTGGTTTTGTGCATGCACCCAACTGAAGGTGTAGGAACAGTAAGATGGCTCATTCTCTGCTCTATACTGTGAAGTCTGACACTCTTGCCCAGCACTGTAGGTGCTTGTCTTCACTTGTGAATCGTACCAGCCTGGCAGGGAAACTGCATTACTTGCTTCAGGTGATGATACAAAGCACACTGTGGAAGCATCAGGCTTCATTCTGGAGCAGATAATTTGTGTGCATGGCCATATACATCTTAGTTCATATCCCTGTGCATTTATAGAAGAGATGAAAGTGAGGAAGATCTTGTGGAGGTGTGGATATGTTACCTGGCGTCCTGGGAAGGGAGCTACCTGCAGTCACTGTACTCAGCAAGGCATCACCTGGAGCTCATGAGCTCCCTGGAGAATGCTGGGAGCAAGCTGGGACCCAGCTGGCTTTGTGCCTCACTCCAGGTTTCAAGAAGGAGCTACAGATCAGTACTCCCTTTCGAAGAGAGAACTTTCAAGGAAGAGGACGTTCTTGCTTCTAGCTTGTCTTTAAAGTGCAGATGAAGGTAAAGTTGTAAATGTCTCTGTCTGCAAATAGCTGCTTCTCTTTTTGACCTAAACTCAGTGAGCTGTTCAGCAGCCTTGTCTTGTGAAAGGTATGGAAAATGGCTTCAACACACAGAACCATGACTGGTCATCCTGGTAACACAATGGAGGGAGATCTGATGTCTCTTGGAATTGGTAGCACACAGCTCATGCCATGCACAACTTGTCTGCAGTTCTGGAGGTGGGTATGGAGGGCTTCTTTCAGGGGAATGTGCCAGAGGGTTTACAAACACAGCACCCTCACAGCATCTCCACTGAGAAAGGAAGTAGCCCTTGTGGGAGCCAGCTTTGGAACCCCTCATCTTCCATCCAAGTCCTGTGAAATACTTCCCTCTGTAGGTAAGTGGCTCCTGCTGCTACTTATCCTCCAGGTGTCACCTCTGCTGAGGTGACACCCGAGGATGTTTGTGTCTCCAAGTTTTGCATGAGTTTGTATGTGCTTGCTGGCCTAAACTCAGCTTGCAACCTCATGTGTGATACAGGGAGAATTTAATCTTAATTGCATCTTTTGACAGGCGAGTCAGACTTGAAGCTTAGCACTCTACCATTAATTTCAGTGTACAGTGTACAATGAAGAAAACTGATTTGGGGATTTCAGCAATGAGCATTTGAAAAAAAAAATTCCTATGTTTTGGGAAGATACAGGGATGTTTGCAAAGCAGAATGGAAGATGAACAAGGAAAATCTGACCTTGGAGATGGTTTGAAAAAGTGTATGTCTAGTGCACTTTATTCTAAATAACCCCCTGAAAGCCAGAGAAGGGCAGGAGTGGAGGGAGTGAACTGAAAGCAGTTTGGTTTGGAGTAACTTCTGGCAGGAGGGAGATCTCTCTGAGCAGAACAAACACTTCCCAGGGAGCTTGGCTTGCTGTCTCTGTGCCAGCTCTGGGTGTGCTGCTGGTTTTGGAGGTCAGTGTGCATGGAAAGCTGTCCTTATTGGAACAAAACCAACTTGGAATGTCTTTATTTCCATTCATGCAGTATCTTGCAGTGTTCTTCCTCTCTGGCCCTGGTATCCTTTACAAAAGCAATGGCGAGGTGCTTCCATGAGCCAATGCCAATTCAAACCTGTGACAAACCTGTCTTCAGCAGGTACTGATGGCTGTTCTACACGTCAGAAAAAGTTAAAATTTTAGCATGGGGATGCATAGTTTACAGTTTCAAGGAATTCTAAAACCTCTGTGCAGGAGAACCTCAGAAGGAGGGTCCTTCTAAGAATAAGAAGGTGATTAAATCAGCCAAGCTTTTGCTAATCCTGCTCCAGAATGGCTCTGCTGTGTGTTATCACCTGTTCCAAGCCTCAGTAATTCGCACAGAGCCCTCCACAGGTGCTTACCTTGTACCACTCCAGTGATGCTGAAATGCCTTGGGTCATCTCAGGTCTATAAACCCAACCTGTCAAAATGTGGAAAAGCTGAGTCCTTCTCTGATAGTTAAAGACTAAAATGAAATGCAGGGCCCTGGATGGTGAAAGCGGTACCAGCATTTGTAGCACTCGTTTCCTTTCCCAGAATAAAATAAAATATGTGTGAAAGTAGGCTGTGTTTCATTAAAAACCAGTTTTTGATACACCCAGCAGCATAAAAATAGGAAAATTGAGTTACATGCTCAGTATGTGCTTTATATATTACAAAATAACTGTAATTTATCGTCCCTGAAGTGTTACATAAACACTAATCTTAACAAGTGTATGGAGGGGGAACTTCCTTGGCTTTCTCCTACTTGGCTGAGTGATCCACACCCATTCAGAAATGCTGAATAACTGCATTACCACTTAAAACACTTCTAAAAAACGGAACCTGATCTTTAACTGAGATAAATCAATGAAGTATCCTACCTTCAAGGGAGCTGTAAATCATTTTCATGAACTGAGAATCTGTTTCCCCTCTCAGTTGCCTATAGTTTTCTCAGGTATCTTCACAGACATTATCTTATTTGAGTCTCTCTTGGTTTACCAAAGATATATTAAAGACCCACATTTCTTAAGAAAATATGTGTGAGGGGGCATTTGCACTTGAATTTAGGAAGAAGGCTGAGCAAACAGTTAAGGCTGGACCTCCTGTGCCTGGGACAGAGTGCAAAGCAGTTTGTTGCTGGGGGAACGGAGTTTTCTAGAGAATTTAGAAGATGGTGTCTTGTACCAGCTGCCGGTTCAAGGTTATTTGTATGGGTTGCGGGAACTGGGACTGAAGCTGAAGAATTTAAAGGAAATTATAAAGAAATCTTGTTTATTTGTTAGGACTGAGATGCTCAAAGCAGTTTGGATGAGAAGCAACTCAATCTTGTTGAAGTAGGACTGTCGTGGCAGATAATTTGAGCCTGACAAGGCTAATTGTGACCAATAGTTTAGAGAAACTCTTTTCTTATTTTTAATGAGTAAAAGTTCTAATTTGCATAAATATGACTTGCGGTCTCTTTTTAGTTTTTTTCCCCACTTCTAGTTTTAGGCACTGTTTGTGTAGGAAGATCAGTGAGTGACTGGGACAACATGATAACGATTTGGCATTCTTGCCTTTGAATGGCCTGGGGTAATTGTGTGGGTAAGTTGTTGTCATGGTTTGAGATAGCCCCAAAATCCAATTCCCTAGCTCCATCCCCCCTCCCACATCTCAACCTAATGTGAGATGGGTTTTTCCAGACAAAAACACACCAGACTCCAAAGTGGGGGAAAGGGAATATATTACAATGACTGTACAAATAAATACCATATCACATTATACACACGATCACAACTATCT